CCACGGCCCCGCCTCCCCTCCCGCCGCAGACAAGTCGGGACTTGCAGTGTCGCGCCGCGCCCCTGTCCGCGCGCGCGGGGGTTTCCCTACGGCGGGGGGCTGGGAGGGGCCTGGCCCGGGGCAGGGGAGGGCTGGGGCACGCCGATGGGGACAGGGGCGGCCGGACACACACACTGACACAGTGACACACTGACTGGGACCTGCAGACACACAAATACACACCCACAGGAGCCTGCTCAGGCTGGCGCTCCTGGGTGCACAAAGTCACATGCCCACAGGGCCATACACACTCATACACAGGGACATACAGACTCATACACAGGGACATACGGCACTCTGTCATATGGCCAAGGTCGCACAAATGGGGACGCACTTAACACACACTCAGACACAAGTTCACAGACTGGCAATGGTACCGGACAGAGAGGGACACAATGACAGCATCGCACTTGAGTTCCCAAAGCCACAAACTATGTCCACAAACGTTCCCACGGAGCAGGGGCCCACAATACACACAAACGCACAGAGGAGGCTAGACTCACTTCAGGAAACACACACTCCTAGGGGGTGGGGGTGGGGGACACACACACACAGTGACACCTGTCACAGGGACCCCTGGACACAGTCTCGTCTAGATGACACACCACTGGCGCACACACAGACACACCCCCATGGACACACAGACACACCCCTGAAGTCTAGCTGCTGACACAGTGAAACTGACCCTGAGGGTCAGAGATCAAATCTGACATAGAGACTGACCTCACACAGACACAAAAGTCACACCTGTGACGGGCACCTGCCGACTGACCCACTGACGGGACCCACTCGGCAGCTCCTGGCCACGCTGTCAGCCAATCTGGCAGGAACCCACAGGGAGGAGGAAACCCCAACGCCTGGCATAAGACATGCCCGGGCAGACCCCACATGAAATCTCCCTCCGGCTCATTGCTTTCTGTTCCCTTTTACTTCATTCTTAGTTTCCCATGGCCTCATTCCCATCTGATGTGACCCCATTGTCTCCCCCTCCCTTGGGGAGGGGCCCTGGGTCTGTGTTTCCTGCATCTTCCATCCTCTTTGTGTCTCATCCTCAACCACCCCATACCTCTCTCTGAGTCACCCCTCTGCATTCAGCACTGGCCTCAGTTAAGGGTTTGTCTAAGGATCCCACATTGGGGGGGCCCCCCACCTGAGACACATTCTTATATTTTCCCAAGAGTAACAGCGACTTCTGAACACACATGAAATCTCCTGATTTTGAAACACTGGGTGACTCATTCCAGGAGCTCTAGTGGTGCTGTGGTTAAGCACTTTGCCTGCTAACCAAAAGTTTGCACCCACCACTATGAGAAGGATGAGACAATCTACTTCTGTCAAGATTTACAGCCTCAGAGACCCTAATGGGGCAGTTCCACTCTGTCCTACTGGCCACAATGAGTCAGGAATGACACTACGACAGGGGATTATGTGGTTGTTGTTGGCAACTGCTTCTGTGTAACTTGGGTAGACACTTGACTACGAGCAGAAAGGTATGCAGTTTAAACTCATCCAAGTTTATCATCCAGCTCATCCAAACTCATCAAGGCACGGGGTAAGACAGGCCTTGTGATCTATCTACTTTGGACATGTCTCAGCCTTGAAAACCCCAAGGAGCATTTCCTCACCCCCATAAAGAGTGAAAATCTAACCAACATTGACCCCTAACACCATTTCCTCTTTCCTTTTTCTCTTTCCTTTTTCTAGCCTTGCCCCTTTCCCCACCTCTTTCATTGTTTTTCAAACTCTAGGCAAACCACAGATGATGAAATTATAGTCAGGACTCTTGTCGTTTAAGAGTCACATTTGACCCAGCAATTCCACTACTGGGAATATACCCCAAAGAAATCAGAACTACCATCCAAGCAGATATATGCACATCCATGTTTATTGTGGCTTTGTTCACAATAGCAAAGATTGGAAACAACCCAAGTGCCCATCAACAAATGGATAGAGAAGCCCTGGTATATTCACACAATGGAATACTATACAGCACTGAAAAAACAAAG